GGAGAAAACTATAAGCAGAGTGATCAGCGGTTACATGAACGCTCAGCTCCCAATCTATAGAACGGTCGTGTGACAGCTGCTGTGCCCCACACCAACTCTAGGTTTTATAAAGACTGCATTTTACTCTCCCAATACTTCACCTTAAGGAACAGGTAGTGCAGTTGCTTTTGCGCACAGTACTTCCACCCCAGTGCACCATGGTGGCAAGTAGGGACCTTGCCCCAAATCTACCTTTGCTTGATGATGCCTCCAGTGCATCCTGCATAAAAGCAAAAACTTGTAAAGGCCCATCATAGTCTGGTGATGCATGTGGTGAAAACAGTCACTTGAGCAAAAACATGCAGAATGCCAGTAAGAGGGGCTGGGAAATAACTCTTTCTCTTTATTTCTGCTAACAAAGCAAAGAAAACCAGGAACCTCATTCCTCTGTGCGGAATCATCATCTCCATTGTGCGCATGTCATATGAACATGCACTCTCCATCATGCTTGTTCTTGATGTAACATATCAAAGACCTCATATATTGATAACTTTGGAGTTGTAGGTCAAGCTGTATTGAGATTTCCTGACTAAGCACATGAACTACTACCCAGTGGTAAACATTCTCCAGACATTTGTAGACCTTTGGATCAGTTTAGTACAATCTCTCTTTGAAGCCGCTTTTCAGGCAAATAGTCTTTTAGCAGCAAATGTTTTTCTTGAGCCAAGGACGTCACTTTCTGTGTCTGTCCTCATTTATGTGCTATCACTGTGTGTTTAGCTAATGTTTGCAAAGCTAAAGACCCCATGTAGTATTTTCTTATCTATATTGGACATGTGATAAGGATAAGGATAGGATAAGGGTAGGATAAGCTGCAAAAAAACGTGACACACAGATATTTCGATTGTAAATACTCTACAGCTTAATGCTGAGTGTACATGGCTAGAATTTTATTTAAAGGAAATAGTTTTTGAAACTTTGTTTAATTTGTTATAATTAATGGGGTTAATTTGACAATCAATTTCAACCAGTGACAAAAAAAAAGGAAAATTTATGTCGAACAAATAAAGTTCTAATAGCGAATATCGTTTTCATTTGGAAAATTGAATTAATTCCAAAATCAAATGTAAAAATCAAAAGTAATTTTGAACAAAATTCGTGAAGTCTCTGATTAATTATTGAATGTTCTGATGAGAATATACTTATGAAAGTTTTTCGAAAATCTACCATTGTATGTAATCATTAATGTTTTTTCATATTCTTCCACCTTTGCTGTATATGAACATTTACAAATATTTTTTCTCTAAACAGTGATATGCAAATATGTTATATTCCGTAAAATTAAATCTAATGAGTTTTTCTAATTCATCTTGCTGCTTGCTGTACTCCATGTTGGTACAGAGGCTCTATGTTACTTTCTACCTTGGCCTATGTGCCTAGTTTCATGTACAATTGAGCTGGAGCTTTGTCGATACTGATCTGTTAAAAACAGCAACATTATTATTATTATTTGGAATTTATATACTGTACCTCCAACAGTTTGCACAGAACTTTACAAATTGAAGAGAGATAGTACAGGTACAATACAATTCAATACAAGAGAGTTAGGAGGGCCCTACTCATGAGAGCTTACAATTTAGTAGGACATGCCTACATTGTGTGCTGTTACAAAGCCACAAGGTTATAAATATCTCACTTCACTTGAGTGGAATTGGAAAACCATGTAAACTATATGCAAATGCATCAAATGTCTATGGGTGTTTCATGTATTGCAGAGCAGTGAAGGCTTCTCCATGAGTGTAATAAATGTCCAGCAGCCATTAATGTCCATATGAAGTTATTAAGAAAAGAGCCAGTTAATGTATTATAAAGTGACTTAATGTCTGGATTTCTAAACTGTTTCAGGAATTTCTGACATTAAACTGTGTTTGTACATGTTCAGATATACCAGCAACTGGCCCGCTCAGTTTCCTGTTTTCCTTCCATTTCCAGTTCATGCGCATGGTCGATGCTTGCTCCAGTTTCCTCACCGAAGCACTTCATCCGGAGAATTGTGTTGGGATTTTAAGACTAGCTGATGCTCATTGCCTGGAATCTTTAAAACTGCAGGTTCAGAACTACATAATCCAGAACTTCTCCCAGGTTGTTAATCATGAGGAATTTTTAGAACTACCATTTGACATTCTTTATCACATTCTAAGGAGTGATGAGCTTTATGTAACTGAAGAATCACAAGTGTTTGAGACTGTCATAAACTGGGTGTGTTATAAGCAATCTGAAAGAATTTCACTTGTGCCCAAAATTTTGGAATGTGTTCGTCTTCCCTTACTGGACCCCTGGTATCTTGTGGGTACAGTAGAAGCCAGTGCATTGATAAGGCAATGCCCTGATGTATTCCCGTTACTGCAAGAAGCTCGAATGTACTATTTAACTGGAAATGAGGTAAGTGATTCTTCCTTAAATCAGTCATAAGATTTTACAGTAAATATTTAGACCTTACATGATTGTCTCATGTGTCATCAAAGCTGTAGAGTTTATTCTGCTCCAGGCTTATGTATGTGAAAAATGAAAGGTACCACCCATTTCTCACCATGTATAGGACATAAAAATCACCATGATGATGAAACCAGTGAAAAGTGCAAACAACAGTCCCTTAAGGGAGATTTACACTTTCAATCAATTGTGGCCAATGGAAGAGTTTCCTCGTTTGACCCCAAGCTTGGACTGAAAATCCCTCATGATATACTGTAAATGTTTCTGATTTAATTGTGTCAGCAATGACTTGTGTCTGGAGTGTGAGTAATTGTATTGGTGAATATTAGGAGATTGGAGTAAGTAGTCTAGGAGTTATTTTGATTTTTGTCAGATATTCTATTAATCCCGGTTGATAGCGCATAGATGAGTATGAATGCTGTGCATTTAAAGGATGGTTCATTCAAGGGACTGATACTTTGATTATGAAAGCTTAGCCTGTGTATAGTAAGCTTACAGTAAAACTTTCATGATAGAAGCATGGGGGTTGCCATTGCTGACCTCATTCTGACAAATACTAGTTGGCTGTTGTTGTGTTAAAATACTAGCTGTAATGCTTTGTTTCAGGTACCTTGAACATGTATACAGATCAGTCAGAGGTTCTTATAAACATACGGGTCTATTCACTGAGCTGCTGTAGGCAGCCGAGTGAATAACTGACCCGAAGTGAAGTGAGCCGAACGCTGTTCGGCTATTCACTTCAGGCTTGTACGGCTGATTTCAGCCGTACACCTACTAAAATCAGCTGTACATAGGCTTGCTGCGGCTGGCTTCGGGTCGGCCAAACATGCTCAGCATGTTCGGCCGACCCGAAGTGCAGAAGAGTTCGACTCAGCCGATCCAACATGTGGATCGGCTGAGCAGAACCTCTGGGAGGCTACTCGCTGCTGTTCGGCCTATTCTCATAGATGCAGAACAGCAGTGAGTGACTAGCCGAATGCCGCTCGGCGGAATTTCGGCCCGGCTATTCTGCTCGGTACCTCTGTGGTACCGAGCAGAATAGAAAAACAGTTAAAAAAGTAGAAAAGATTAAATAGAAAACGATTGGGCGGAGCTAGCAGTGACAGCTAGCTCCACCCAACAGTTTTCTATTGGCGGGGCGGTTCTGCTGCCGTCAGAATAATAATGAAAAAAACCACCATAGGAATGCATAGCTAGATTCCTATTGGCTATTTCACTTTGCAATAGCCAATAGCAAACTAGCTATTGCACCCAACCTCTGCTGCTGTCAATCACCAGAAGGGGACCTGATGGAGAACTGCAGGTCCCCCTCTGCCGATTGACAGCAGCAGTGGGCGGGTGCAATAGCTAGTTTGAAATAGCTATGCATTCCAATGTTTCTTTTTTTAAATTCTGACGGCAGCCAACGGCTCCGATGTCAGAAAAAAAAAAAAAAACAGGGAAAGGTTTACTCTGCTCGACCTGATGGAGCAGAGTAAAACTTTCCGGGAGAAAGTGTTTCTCTCTCGGGCGGCCGGGAGCCGCTATCTAATAGCGGCAGACTCCCGCAGCGTCCAGGAGAGTTGGGCTATCTGGAGATCAACGTCCCTGGTTACCTGGTAACCAGGGATGCTGATCTGTCTGTGCAAGTGGCGGGAGCCAGCCGTGAGATGACGGCTGGCGCCGCCCAGCAGTCAGTAGCAGGCCGTTCGGCCAGCTTCGGCTTTCACCTCGGCTCAGTCGAGCTGAAGCATATGCCTTCGGCTCGACTGAGCAGCTCGGTCGACTTCGGGAGCTGTACAAGCTATAATGAATAGCCCGTACAGCAGCCCTTCGGTTCTACTGAACCGAAGGGTTCCTGGGGCCGAAGCATCAGTTGAAGCTACGTCTAGATCCTTCAACAGCTTAGTGAATAGACCCCATAATGTTCTGAGTGATGCAGTTGATTAATTTCACAATTTCAGTAGACATGTGCGATTCGTTTAATTCCAAATAGAAATTCAGGCCAATATCGGCAAATATGGACGTTCAGATGCATCCGAATTTTTGAATGAAAGAAGTAACGGATCTGAACGTATCCAAATTTTTTCGATAATGAAAATTCGGATGCATCCGAAATGTTTTCCCGAATGTCATTTGGAATCATCTTTTGTTGTTAAACGTAAAAATAATAAAAAGGTGTGTGGAGTCCCCTCCTAAATTCATACTAGATCCTTTAGGTTTGAAAGACATTTTAGTGGGCTCCCAATGCCGAAAAAAAAAAAAAGTGCCCCCCCCACCCAAATCCCTTACCAGACCCTTGATCCGAGCAGCAGTCTGGAAGAGCAGAAAAGGAGGGGACAAGGGTGCACCCCCCCCCCCCCGCGCCATACCAGGCAACATGCACTTAACATGGGGGGAACCTCCTGGCAAAACACTTTGTTCCGATGCCAATGAGGACAAAAGCCTCTTCCCCACAACCCTGGCCCGGTGGTTGTGGGGGTCTGTGGGAGGGGGGGCTTATAGGAATATGGGTGTCCCCTCATGAGCGAGTAAGGGGTAGTTGTTACCGCTACTCAGTCACCAAATAAATAGTAAAATTGTTTTAAAAAAAAAACACAACACCGTAAAAAAATAATGTATTTGGAAAAAAAACACAACACAGGTTTTTGACACCCTTTTATAAAAAAAACGAAAAAAATGTTCATTGATGTAATCCACAGGTCAATCACATCGTTGACTTGCTGAAAGAAAAAAATCACGACGCCTGCCAACACGTCCAATCCCGACAAACACCGCCACAAAATGACAGCTCTCCTCCTCAATGTCAACAAAGGGGCAGAGCGAGTTGTGATACCATGGGACTTGTCCCACCCATTTGTTACATTTCATTAGGCGACAGGGAGCTGTCACGGAATGTAAACAAATGAGCGGAACATCACGACTTGCTCCGCCCCTTTGTTGACATTCGGGAGCACAGCTGTGCGTCGGGATAGAACATGTTGGCAGGCGTTGGGAATTTTTTCTTTCGGAGAGTCGGTGGCCATTGTCCATCGTGGTTGACGTAGATCTAAATCGCTGGACTACGTGATTGACATGTGAACTACACACAACAACAGAATAAATTGCCTCGCTATGCCCTGTCTAGACACCTCTCCCCCTTATTTGAAAGTACATGTATAGCAAGAAAAAGTTAGGGTTTAATGAGATGTCATAACCATTGCACAAGTCAAATCACAGAAGGTTTATATTGTTTTAAATTATTTTAACATGATTGCATTAAAAAGTTTTTTGTCATAAAAGCATGATTCCCCCATTTAAGCCTATATGCGCCGCCAGAAAAATATAAACCACAATTCATAAATACATATCCAGATAGTTCCGTCATCTCATATAGTGGTATTCTGGCCAACTTGCGTATCAGGCATAGATCCCAACACGTTTCGCTTCCTTAGGGGAATGGAGGTAACCAATCTAATAATAATAACATACAATTACTTTTCAATCCATAATAAATAGGTTTATAACATTCATTATAACCATTTCATAAATCAATATTTGTGGTGACCAACCAATGGACATAAGGACCCCCCAGCCCGATAGATACCCACTACTTACCAGGACACTCCGTGTCCAAGAAGGAGGCTCCAGGGATCTCCCAGGAAAGGGAGAGGGAGAGAGAGGTGTGAACAGCCTCCAATCAAACTCCCATCCCACCCCTGCCGGAACATCGGAACCAAAGGTGGAGAGGACACCCGCAGAGCCAATTCACTTGTCACTTTTTCAGTAAGCCTCTAGTGTCCACCAAAAGCAAGAGACTTTGAGTATGTGAACTACATCGATGGACATTTTTTTTTAATAAAAGACTTGTGTTTTGTTTTTTCAAATAAATGACTTTTAACCACTTCAAGACCAGGTGTTTAGACCCCCTTCCTGGCCAGGCCATTTTTCAGTGTTCAGCGCTGCAGCCCTTTGACTGACGTTTATTCCGTCATGCAGCGCTGTACTGAAATGGATTTTATACCATTTTTTGGGGACAGATAGGGCTTTATTTTGGGGGTATTTAATCACCACTGGGGTTTTTATTTTTTATTATAATTAGGAAAAATTACAGAAAATTTTGAAAAAAAAAAGTTTTTTTTACATTATGTTAGGAAACATTTATTATTAACCAGTTTTTTGGTAAAATATAAAAGATCGGGTCACGTCGGGTAAATAGACACCAAACATGTCAAGCTTTAAAATTGCGCGCACCCGCGAAATTGCAGAAAACTACCAT